CCGGTTAGTGCTGTACTAGTAACGAATTGTAAATGTCGTAGTGGGTTTAGCTCTCCAACACATAGCAACCGGTTATTGCTGTACTAGTAACGAATTGTAAATGTTGTAGTGGGTTTAACTCTCCAACACACAGCAACCGGTTAGTGCTGTACTAGTAACGAATTGTAAATGTCACAGTGGGTTTAACTCTCCAACACACAGCAACCGGTTAGTGCTGTACTAGTAACGAATTGTAAATGTCGTAGTGGGTTTAACTATCCAACACACAGCAACCGGTTAGTGCTGTACGAGTAACGAATTGTAAATGTAGTAGTGGGTTTAACTCTCCAACACACAGCAACCGGTTAGTGCTGTACTAGTAACGAATTGCAAATGTAGTAGTGGGTTTAACTCTCCAACACACACCAACCGGTTAGTGCTGTACTAGTAACGAATTGTAAAAGTAGTAGTGGATTTAAAACTCCAACACACAGCAACCGGTTAGTGCTGTACTAGTAACGAATTGTAAATGTAGTAGTGGGTTTAACTCTCCAACACACAGCAACCGGTTAGTGCTGTACTAGTAACGAATTGTAAATGTTGTAGTGGGATTAACTCTCCAACACACAGCAACCGGTTAGTGCTGTACTAGTAACGAATTGTAAATGTCGTAGTGGGTTTAGCTCTCCAACACACAGCAACCGGTTAGTGCTGTACTAGTAACAAATTGTAAATGTTGTAGTGGGTTTAACTCTCCAACACACAGCAACCGGTTAGTGCTGTACTAGTAACGAATTGTAAATGTCACAGTGGGTTTAACTCTCCAACACACAGCAACCGGTTAGTGCTGTACTAGTAACGAATTGTAAATGTCGTAGTGGGTTTAACTATCCAACACACAGCAACCGGTTAGTGCTGTACTAGTAACGAATTGTAAATGTTGCAGTGGGTTTAACTCTCCAACACACAGCAACCGGTTAGTGCTGTACTAGTAACGAATTGTAAATGTTGCAGTGGGTTTAACTCTCCAACACACAGCAACCGGTTAGTGCTGTACTAGTAACGAATTGTAAATGTTGCAGTGGGTTTAACTCTCCAACACACAGCAACCGGTTAGTGCTGTACTAGTAACGAATTGTAAATGTAGTAGTGGGTTTAACTCTCCAGCACACAGCAACCGGTTAGTGCGGTACTAGTAACGAATTGATAATGTTGTAGTGGGTTTAACTCTCAAACACACAGCAACGGGTTAGTGCTGTACTAGTAATGAATAGTAAATGTCGTAGTAGGTTTAACTTTCCAACACACAGCAAACCGGTTAGTGCTGTACTAGTAACGAATTGTAAATGTTGTAGTGGGTTTAACTCTCCAACACACATCAACCGGTTAGCGCTGTACTAGTAACGAATTGTGAATGTTGTAGTGGGTTTAACTCTCCAACACACAGCAACCGGTTAGTGCTGTACTAGTAACGAATTGTAAATGTTGTAGTGGGATTAACTCTCCAACACACAGCAACCGGTTAGTGCTGTACGAGTAACGAATTGTAAATGTAGTAGTGGGTTTAACTCTCCAACACACAGCAACCGGTTAGTGCTGTACTAGTAACGAATTGCAAATGTAGTAGTGGGTTTAACTCTCCAACACACAGCAACCGGTTAGTGCTGTACTAGTAACGAATTGTAAAAGTAGTAGTGGATTTAAAACTCCAACACACAGCAACCGGTTAGTGCTGTACTAGTAACGAATTGTAAATGTAGTAGTGGGTTTAACTCTCCAACACACAGCAACCGGTTAGTGCTGTACTAGTAACGAATTGTAAATGTTGTAGTGGGATTAACTCTCCAACACACAGCAACCGGTTAGTGCTGTACTAGTAACGAATTGTAAAAGTAGTAGTGGATTTAAAACTCCAACACACAGCAACCGGTTAGTGCTGTACTAGTAACGAATTGTAAATGTCGTAGTGGGTTTAGCTCTCCAACACACAGCAACCGGTTAGTGCTGTACTAGTAACGAATTGTAAATGTTGTAGTGGGTTTAACTCTCCAACACACAGCAACCGGTTAGTGCTGTACTAGTAACGAATTGTAAATGTCACAGTGGGTTTAACTCTCCAACACACAGCAACCGGTTAGTGCTGTACTAGTAACGAATTGTAAATGTCGTAGTGGGTTTAACTATCCAACACACAGCAACCGGTTAGTGCTGTACGAGTAGCGAATTGTAAATGTAGTAGTGGGTTTAACTCTCCAACACACAGCAACCGGTTAGTGCTGTACTAGTAACGAATTGCAAATGTAGTAGTGGGTTTAACTCTCCAACACACACCAACCGGTTAGTGCTGTACTAGTAACGAATTGTAAAAGTAGTAGTGGATTTAAAACTCCAACACACAGCAACCGGTTAGTGCTGTACTAGTAACGAATTGTAAATGTAGTGGGTTTAACTCTCCAACACACAGCAACCGGTTAGTGCTGTACTAGTAACGAATTGTAAATGTTGTAGTGGGATTAACTCTCCAACACACAGCAACCGGTTAGTGCTGTACTAGTAACGAATTGTAAATGTCGTAGTGGGTTTAGCTCTCCAACACACAGCAACCGGTTAGTGCTGTACTAGTAACGAATTGTAAAAGTAGTAGTGGATTTAAAACTCCAACACACAGCAACCGGTTAGTGCTGTACTAGTAACGAATTGTAAATGTAGTAGTGGGTTTAACTCTCCAACACACAGCAACCGGTTAGTGCTGTACTAGTAACGAATTGTAAATGTTGTAGTGGGATTAACTCTCCAACACACAGCAACCGGTTAGTGCTGTACTAGTAACGAATTGTAAAAGTAGTAGTGGTATTTAAAACTCCAACACACAGCAACCGGTTAGTGCTGTACTAGTAACGAATTGTAAATGTCGTAGTGGGTTTAGCTCTCCAACACATAGCAACCGGTTATTGCTGTACTAGTAACGAATTGTAAATGTTGTAGTGGGTTTAACTCTCCAACACACAGCAACCGGTTAGTGCTGTACTAGTAACGAATTGTAAATGTCACAGTGGGTTTAACTCTCCAACACACAGCAACCGGTTAGTGCTGTACTAGTAACGAATTGTAAATGTCGTAGTGGGTTTAACTATCCAACACACAGCAACCGGTTAGTGCTGTACGAGTAACGAATTGTAAATGTAGTAGTGGGTTTAACTCTCCAACACACAGCAACCGGTTAGTGCTGTACTAGTAACGAATTGCAAATGTAGTAGTGGGTTTAACTCTCCAACACACACCAACCGGTTAGTGCTGTACTAGTAACGAATTGTAAAAGTAGTAGTGGATTTAAAACTCCAACACACAGCAACCGGTTAGTGCTGTACTAGTAACGAATTGTAAATGTAGTAGTGGGTTTAACTCTCCAACACACAGCAACCGGTTAGTGCTGTACTAGTAACGAATTGTAAATGTTGTAGTGGGATTAACTCTCCAACACACAGCAACCGGTTAGTGCTGTACTAGTAACGAATTGTAAATGTCGTAGTGGGTTTAGCTCTCCAACACACAGCAACCGGTTAGTGCTGTACTAGTAACAAATTGTAAATGTTGTAGTGGGTTTAACTCTCCAACACACAGCAACCGGTTAGTGCTGTACTAGTAACGAATTGTAAATGTCACAGTGGGTTTAACTCTCCAACACACAGCAACCGGTTAGTGCTGTACTAGTAACGAATTGTAAATGTCGTAGTGGGTTTAACTATCCAACACACAGCAACCGGTTAGTGCTGTACTAGTAACGAATTGTAAATGTTGCAGTGGGTTTAACTCTCCAACACACAGCAACCGGTTAGTGCTGTACTAGTAACGAATTGTAAATGTTGCAGTGGGTTTAACTCTCCAACACACAGCAACCGGTTAGTGCTGTACTAGTAACGAATTGTAAATGTTGCAGTGGGTTTAACTCTCCAACACACAGCAACCGGTTAGTGCTGTACTAGTAACGAATTGTAAATGTAGTAGTGGGTTTAACTCTCCAGCACACAGCAACCGGTTAGTGCGGTACTAGTAACGAATTGATAATGTTGTAGTGGGTTTAACTCTCAAACACACAGCAACGGGTTAGTGCTGTACTAGTAATGAATAGTAAATGTCGTAGTAGGTTTAACTTTCCAACACACAACAACCGGTTAGTGCTGTACTAGTAACGAATTGTAAATGTAGTAGTTGGTTTGACTCTCCAACACACAGCAACCAGTTAGTGCGGTACTAGTAACGAATTGATAATGTTGTAGTGAGTTTAACTCTCCAACACACAGCAACCGGTTAGTGCTGTACTAGTAACGAATTGTAAATGTTGTAGTGGGTTTAACTCTCAAACACACAGCAACGGGTTAGTGCTGTACTAGTAATGAATAGTAAATGTCGTAGTAGGTTTAACTTTCCAACACACAACAACCGGTTAGTGCTGTTCTAGTAACGAATTGTAAATGTAGTAGTTGGTTTTACTCTCCAACACACAGCAACCGGTTAGTGCTGTACTAGTAACGAATTGTAAATGTTGCAGTGGGTTTAACTCTCCGACACACAGCAACCGGTTAGTACTGTATTAGTAACGAATTGTAAATGTTGTAGTGGGTTTAACTCTCCAACACACAGTAACTGGTTAGTGCTGTACTAGTAACGAATTGTAAATGCTATAGTGGATTTAACTCTGCAACATACAGCAACCGGTTAGTGCTGTACTAGTAACGAATTGGCCACGTTCTGTTTACGTAACGCAAACCCCTTAAATAATTGGCCATGTCGGGTGGTGGCGGCTTTAACGACACAGTAATTCATATTAACGCGATCTAACCCCAAACAAACCTTAATTATTGATATATTATAATCATATATATTTTAATCATATATATTATAATCATATATATTATAATCATTGCGTCGGTCACCCCGACACCACTCCCCCCACCTCTCCCCCCACCCCTCCCCCCACGTCTCCCCCCCACCCTTCCCCCCCCGTCTCCCCCCCCCCCCCTCTGTGTTTCAGGGGTAGCTCCACGGCGTGGCTGTCATGGCTCAGCGTGACAATTCAGGTGAGACTCCCGTCCCGTGTCTCTCTGTCTCTGTGTCTCTGTGTCTGTCTCTGTCCCGTCCCGTGTCTCTCTGTCTCTGTGTCTCTCTGTGTCTGTCTCTGTCCCGTCCCGTGTCTCTCTGTCTCTGTGTCTCTCTGTGTCTGTCTCTGTGTCTTTCTGTGTCTCTCTGTCTCTGTCTCTGTGTCTGTCTCTGTGTCTCTGTGTCTGTCTCTGTGTCTGTCTCTGTGTCTCTCTGTGTCTCTCTGTCTGTCTCTGTGTCTCTCTGTCTCTGTGTCTCTCTGTCTCTGTCTGTGTCTCTCTGTGTCTGTCTCTGTCCCGTCCCGTGTCTCTCTGTCTGTCTCTGTCCCGTCCCGTGTCTCTCTGTGTCTCTCTGTGTCTGTCTCTGTGTCTGTCTCTGTGTCTGTCTCTGTGTCTCGCTGTGTCTCTCTGTGTCTGTCTCTGTGTCTGTCTCTGTCCCAGGCCGTGTCTCTGTCTGTCTCTGTGTATCTCTGTGTCTCTGTGTTTCTGTCTCTGTGTCTGTCTCTGTGTCTCTCTGTGTCTGTCTCTGTGTCTCTCTGTGTCTGTCTCTGTGTCTCTCTGTGTCTGTCTCTCTGTCTCTGTGTCTCTCTGTGTCTGTGTCTCTCTGTGTCTGTCTCTGTGTCTGTCTCTGTGTCTCTCTTTGTCTCTTTGTGTCTGTCTCTGTGTCTCTCTGTGTCTGTCTCTGTGTCTGTCTCTGTGTCTGTCTCTGTCCCAGGCCGTGTCTCTGTCTGTCTCTGTGTATCTCTGTGTCTGTCTCTGTGTCTCTCTGTCTGTCTCTGTGTCTCTCTGTATGTCTCTGTGTCTGTCTCTGTCCCATGCCGTGTCTCTCTCTGTCTGTCTCTGTGTCTCTCTGTTTGTCTCTGTATCTCTCTGTCTGTCCCATGCCGTGTCTCTCTGTGTATGTCTCTGTTCCATGTCGTGTCTCTCTGTGTCTCTCTCTGTGTCTCTCTGTGTCTGTCTCTGTATCTCTCTGTGTCTGTCTCTGTGTTTCTGTCTCTGTCCCATGCCGTGTCTCTCTGTGTCTGTCTCTGTGTCTCTGTGTCTCTCTGTCTGTCCCAGGCCGTGTCTCTCTGTGTATGTCTCTGTCCCATGCCGTGTCTCTCTGTGTATGTCTCTGTCCCATGTCGTGTCTCTCTGTGTCTGTCTCTGTGTCTCTTTGAATCTGTCTCTGTGTCTCGCTGTGTCTGTCTCTGTATCTCTCTGTGTCTGTCTCTGTGTTTCTGTCTCTGTCCCATGCCGTGTCTCTCTGTGTCTGTCTCTGTTTGTCTTTGTGTCTCTCTGTCTGTCCCAGGCCGTGTCTCTCTGTGTCTCTCTGTTTGTCTCTGTGTCTCTCTGTGTCTGTCTCTGTGTCTCTCTGTTTGTCTCTGTTTCTGTCTCTGTCCCAAGCCGTGTCTCTCTGTGTCTGTCTCTGTCCCATGCCGTGTCTCTCTGTGTCTCTCTGTATGTCTCTGTGTCTCTCTGTCTATCCCGTCCCGTGTCTCTCTGTGTCTGTCTCTGTGTCTCTCTGTTTGTCTCTGTGTCTGTCTGTCTGTCCCAGGCCGTGTCTCTCTGTGTCTGTCTCTGTCCCATGCCGTGTCTCTGTTTCTCTCTGTATGTCTCTGTATCTCTCTGTGTCTGTCTCTGTGTCTGTCTCTGTGTCTCTCTGTGTTTATGTCTCTGTCCCGTCCCGTGTCTCTCTGTGTCTGTCTCTGTCCCATGTCGTGTCTCTCTGTGTCTGTCTCTATCCCGTCCCGTGTCTCTCTGTGTCTGTCTCTGTGTCTCTCTGTGTCTGTCTCTGTCCCGTCCCGTTTCTCTCTGTGTTTCTGTATCTGTCCCATGTCGTGTCTCTCTGTGTCTGTCTCTGTCCCGTCCCGTGTCTCTCTGTGTCTGTCTCTGTCCCATGCCGTGTCTCTCTGTGTCTGTTTCTGTATCTCTCTGTGTCTGTCTTTGTGTCTCTCTGTCTGTCCCAGGCCGTGTCTCTCTGTCTGTCTCTGTCCCATGCCGTCTCTCTCTGTGTCTGTCTCTGTATCTCTCTGTGTCTGTCTCTGTGTCTCTCTGTCTGTCTTTGTCCCATGCCGTGTCTCTCTGTGTCTGTCTCTGTTCCATGCCGTGTCTCTCTGTGTCTGTCTCTATGTCTCTCTGTTTGTCTTTGTGTCTGTCTATCTGTCCCAGGTCGTGTCTCTCTGTGTCTGTCTCTGTCCCATGGCGTATCTCTCTGTGTCTGTTTCTGTCCCATGTCGTGTCTCTCTGTGTCTGTATCTGTGTCTCTCTGTGTCTGTCTCTGTGTCTCTCTGTGTCTGTCTCTGTGTCTCTCTGTCTGTCCCAAGCCGTGTATCTCTGTCCCATGCCGCGTCTCTGTGTCTCTCTGTCTGTCCCAGGCCGTGTCTCTGTGTGTCTCTGTCTGTCCCATTACGTGTCTCTCTGTCTGTCCCAAGCCGTGTCTCTGTGTCTCTCTTTTTGTTTCTGTGTCTCTCTGTTTGTTCTAGGCCGTGTCTCTCTGTCCAATGCCGTGTCTCTGTGTCTCTCTGTATGTCTCTGTGTCTCTCTGTTTGTCTTTGTGTCTTTCTTTCTCTGTCCCAGGCCGTATCTCTCTGTCCCATGCCGTGTCTCTGTGTCTCTCTGTCTCTGTGTCTCTCTGTCTGTCCCAGGCCGTATCTCTCTGTCCCATGCCGTGTCTCTGTGTCTCTCTGTCTGTCTCTCTGTGTCTCTCTGTCTGTCCCATGTCGTGTCTCTGTGTCTCTCTGTATGTCTCTCTGTGTCTCTCTGTCTGTCCCATGCCGTGTCTCTGTGTCTCTCTGTCTGTCCCAGGCCCTGGCGTAGTGTAGTAGTGTATAATATTGTGTAGTAGTATATAATGTAGTGTAGTATATAATGAAGTGTAGTAGTGTATAATGTAGTGTAGTAGTATATAATGTAGTGTAGTAGTATATAATGTAGTGTAGTAGTGTATAGTGTAGTAGTATATAATGTAGTGTAGTAGTATATAATGTAGTGTAGTAGTGTATAATGTAGTGTAGTATATAGTAGTATATAATGTGTTTAGTAGTTTATAATGTAGTATAGTATACAGTAGTGTATAATGTGTATAGTAGTGTATAATGTAGTGTAGTATATAGTAGTATATAGTAGTGTATTACGTGTATAGTAGTGTATAATGTAGTGTAGTAGAGTATAATGTAGTGTAGTAGTGTGTAATGTAGTGTAGTATATAGTAGTGGAGTAGTGTATAATGTAGTGTAGTAGTATATAATGTGGTGTAGTAGTGTATAGTGTAGTAGTATATAATGTAGTGTAGTAGTGTATAATGTAGTTTAGTATATAGTAGTGTATAATGTAGTGTAGTAGTGTATAGTGTAGTAGTATATAATGTAGTGTAGTAGTATATAATGTAGTGTAGCAGTGTATAATGTAGTGTAGTAGTATTTAATGTGGTGTAGTAGTACATAATGCAGTGTAGTAGTATATAATATAGTAGTATATAATGTAGTGTAGTAGTGTATAGTTTAGTAGTATATAATGTAGTGTAGTAGTACATAATGTAGTGTAGTAGTATATAATGTAGTAGTATATGATGTAGTGTAGTAGTTTATAATGTAGTGTAGTGGTGTATAATGTAGTGTAGCAGTATATAATGTATTGTAGTAGTATAAAGTAGTGTAGTAGTATATAGTAGTGTAGCAGTATATAGTAGTGTAGCAGTATATAATGTAGTGTAGTAGTATAGAATGTAGTGTAGTAGTAGTATAGAATGTAGTGTAGTAGTATATAGTGTAGTAGTATATATTGTAGTGTAGTAGTATATAATGTAGTGTAGTAGTATATAGTAGTGTAGCAGTATATAATGTAGTGTAGTAGTATAGAATGTAGTGTAGTAGTAGTATATAGTGTAGTGTAGTAGTATATAATGTAGTGTAGTAGTATATAATGTAGTGTAGTAGTATATAATGTAGTGTAGTAGTATATAGTAGTGTAGTAGTATATAGTAGTGTAGTAGTATATAATGTAGTGTAGTAGTAGTATATAATGTAGTGTAGTAGTATATAGTGTAGTATATATTGTAGTGTAGTAGTATATAATGTAGTGTAGTAGTATATAGTAGTGTAGCAGTATATAATGTATTGTAGTATATTGTAGTGTAGTAGTATATAGTAGTGTAGTAGTATATAGTAGTGTAGTAGTATATAATGTAGGGTAGTAGTGTATAATGTAGTGTAGTATATGGTAGTGTATAATGTAGTGTAGTAGTGTATAATGTTGCGTAGTATATTGTAGTGTATAATGTAGTGTAGTAGTATATAATGTACTGTCGTAGTGTATAATGTAGTGTAGCATATAGTAGTGTATAATGTAGTGTAGTACAGTACATGCCGTAGAACACGTTTGGAATCGACCTTCGTCTTTGTCTTTGCCTCCGCGTTCTGCCCCAGGACTTCCACCTGTGGCTGACCGTGTCTCACTGCGCATCCTGCACCAGGTCATGCAACGGCATCGTCTTTGTGACGTCACTCGCCGGGATTTCCCTTGGATTGGTGGGTAATGCACGCGAACAGCAAACTCGCCCGCCCGCTCACCACTCGTACACTCGCTCACCACTCGCTCACTCGGCCGCTTGCCCACTCACCCATTCGCTCAATCGCTCACCAATCGCACACTCGCTCACCACTCGCTCACCACTCGCTCACCACTTGATCACTCACCCACTCTCCCACTCGCTCTTTCACTCACCGCTCACTCAGCACTCGCTCACTCACTCAGCCACTCACTTCCTCACTCACCACACAAACTCACCCCCACTGTGTGTCTCTGTGTGTGTCTGTGTGTGTGTCTGTGTGTGTCTGTGTGTCTCTGTGTGTGTCTGTGTGTGTGTCTGTGTGTGTCTGTGTGTGTGTCTGTGTGTGTGTGTGTCTGTGTGTGTGTGTGTGAGTTCCTGTCTGCCTGTAGCTCGCCTGCTGCCTCTACTTCCTCCAGAGACGGACGGTACCAGATCCCATGGTGCTCATGCAGGGTAAGCGACGTTTTGGTCTCGCGGCCTACGGCAGGAACGCCTTCACGGGCTCCATAGATCTCCATGGATCTCCATGGGTCTCTGTTTTTCCGTGTCTCTATGGGTCTCTGTGTGTCTCTATGGATCTGTGTTTATCTATGGGTCGCTGTGTATCTCTATGGGTCTGTGTGTGTCTCTACGGATCTGTGTGTATCTCTGGGTCTCTGTGTATCTCTATGGGTCTCTGTGTGTCTCTGTTTTAATGTGTGTCTCTATGGGTCTCTGTGTGTCTCTATGGACCTGTGTGTATCTATGGGTCCCTGTGTATCTCTATGGGTCTCTGTGTGTCTCTATGGGTCTCTGTATGTCTCTGCTTTTCTGTGTCTCAATGGGCCTCTGTGGGTCTCTGTGGGTCTCTGTGTGTCTCTATGGATCTGTGTGTATCTCTGGGTCTCTGTGTATCTCTATGGGTCTCTGTGTGTCTCTATGAGTCTCTGTATGTCTCTGTTTGTCTGTGTGTCTCTGTGGGTCTCTGTGTGTCTCTATGGATCTGTGTGTATCTATGGATCCCTGTGTATCTCTATGGGTCTCTGTGTGTCTCTATGGGTCTCTGTATGTCTCTGTTTTTCTGTGTGTCAATGGGACTCTGTGGGTCTCTGTGTGTCTCTATGGATCTGTGTGTATCTATAGGTCTCTGTGTGTCTCTATGGGTCTCTGTATGTCTCTGTTTTTCTGTGTCTCTATGGGTCTCTGTGGGTCTCTGTGTGTCTCTATGGATCTGTGTGTATCTATGGGTCTGTATATCTCTATGGGTCTCTGTATGTCTCTATGGGTCTCTGTATGTCTCTGTTTTTCTGTGTGTCTCTAGGGGTCTCTGTGTATCTCTATGGGTCTCTGTGTGTATCTGTGGGTCTCTGTGTGTCTCTATGGATCTGTGTGTATCTATGGGTCCCTGTGTGTCTCTATGGGTCTCTGTGTGTCTCTATAGGTCTCTCTATGTCTCTGTTTTTCTGTGTCACTATGGGTCTCTGTGGGTCTCTGTGGGTCTCTGTGTGTCTCTATGGATCTGTGTGTATCTATGGATCTCTGTGTGTCTCTATGGGTCTCTGTGTGTCTCTATGGGTCTCTGTATGTCTCTGTTTTTCTGTCTCTATGGGTCTCTGTGGGTCTCTGTGGGTCTCTGTGTGTCTCTATGGATCTGTGTGTATCTATAGGTCTCTGTGTATCTCTATGGGTCTCTGTGTGTCTCTGTGGGTCTCTGTATGTCTCTGTTTTTCTGTATCTCTATGAGTCTCTGTGGGTCTCTGTGTGTCTCTATGTGTCTCTATGGATATGTGTGAATCTATGGGTCTCTGTATGTCTCTATGGGTCTCTGTGTGTCTCTATAGGTCTCTGTGGGTCTCTATGGGTCTCTGTATGTCTCTGTTTTTCTGTGTTTCTATGGATCTCTGTGGGTCTCTATGGGTCTCTGTGTGTCTCTATGGATCTGTGTGTATCTATGGGTCTCTGTGTATCTCTGTGTGTCTCTATGGGTCTCTGTGGGTCTCTGTTTTTCTGTGTCTCTATGGGTCTCTGTGGGTCTCTGTGTGTCTCTGTGTGTCTCTATGGATCTGTGTGTATCTATGGGTCTCTGTGTATCTCTATGGGTCTCTGTGTGTCTCTATGGGTCTCTGTGTGTCTCTATGGGTCTCTGTATGTCTCTGTTTTTCTGTATCTCTATGGGTCTCTGTGTGTCTCTGTGTGTTTCTATGGATCTGTGTGTATCTATGGGTCTCTGTATATCTATATGGGTCTCTGTATGTCTCTGTTTTTCTGTTTGTCTCTAGGGGTCTCTGTGTATCTCTATGGATCTGTGTGTATCTATGGATCTCTGTGTGTCTCAATGGGTCTCTGTGTGTCTCTGTTTTAATGTGTGTCTCTATGGGTCTCTGTGTGTCTCTATGGACCTGTGTGTATCTATGGGTCCCTGTGTATCTCTATGGGTCTCTGTGTGTCTCTATGGGTCTCTGTATGTCTCTGCTTTTCTGTGTCTCAATGGGCCTCTGTGGGTCTCTGTGGGTCTCTGTGTGTCTCTATGGATCTGTGTGTATCTCTGGGTCTCTGTGTATCTCTATGGGTCTCTGTGTGTCTCTATGAGTCTCTGTATGTCTCTGTTTGTCTGTGTGTCTCTGTGGGTCTCTGTGTGTCTCTATGGATCTGTGTGTATCTATGGATCCCTGTGTATCTCTATGGGTCTCTGTGTGTCTCTATGGGTCTCTGTATGTCTCTGTTTTTCTGTGTGTCAATGGGACTCTGTGGGTCTCTGTGTGTCTCTATGGATCTGTGTGTATCTATAGGTCTCTGTGTGTCTCTATGGGTCTCTGTATGTCTCTGTTTTTCTGTGTCTCTATGGGTCTCTGTGGGTCTCTGTGTGTCTCTATGGATCTGTGTGTATCTATGGGTCTGTATATCTCTATGGGTCTCTGTATGTCTCTATGGGTCTCTGTATGTCTCTGTTTTTCTGTGTGTCTCTATGGGTCTCTGTGGGTCTCTGTGTGTCTCTATGGATCTGTGTGTATCTATGTGTCTCTGTGTGTTTCTATGGGTCTCTGTGTGTCTCTATGGATCTATTTGTATCTATGGGTCCCTGTGTATCTCTATGGGTCTCTGTGTGTCTCTATAGGTCTCTCTATGTCTCTGTTTTTCTGTGTCACTATGGGTCTCTGTGGGTCTCTGTGGGTCTCTGTGTGTCTCTATGGATCTGTGTGTATCTATGGATCTCTGTGTGTCTCTATGGGTCTCTGTGTGTCTCTATGGGTCTCTGTATGTCTCTGTTTTTCTGTCTCTATGGGTCTCTGTGGGTCTCTGTGGGTCTCTGTGTGTCTCTATGGATCTGTGTGTATCTATGGGTCTCTGAGTATCTCTATGGGTCTCTGTGTGTCTCTATGGGTCTCTGTATGTCTCTGTTTTTCTGTATCTCTATGAGTCTCTGTGGGTCTCTGTGTGTCTCTGTGTGTCTCTATGGATATGTGTGAATCTATGGGTCTCTGTATGTCTCTATGGGTCTC